CAAGTTTATTGTAAGCATATATATATATTTTAAAGTAAAAATGGGAAATTTTTTTTTTCCATGATAACCGACATGTCTTATTGTTAGGTGATAATAAGTGTAATTTAACAAAAATAAAAATACCTCATTACTTCTATATCCAAAAAATACCCAAACGTTTTAAGGCCACAATACATTAAAATTAACTAAATTAGTTGAGAAATTGAGCATATTTTATGAATCAGGTAATAAAAACTTACTAGTAGAGATTTTGTTGTTTCTTAGTAATTATTAAATTAATTAGTATTTAAATCACAAGAAAAAATTATGCAGTAAATTAATTTTTTTAAACTAAACACGAAGAAAACCAAGTAAACTACATTTAAATAACTTTTACCATTTCTTCTCCTTATACCAACGCACCATTAAAATAGACTATGATGGTGTCTAAATCACAATAAAACATCCTCATCATCTATAAATAAATAGGATCTTACTGGCTAAAATTATATTAGTGTGGAATATTGAACACATGTACTAAATTGCACCCATATTGTACCTAAGCACAAAATTGTTATTTCACTATTAACTATTTAAGACGACTTAAGGCACTTGATTTTTCATAGAAACTGACAAAGAAAACATTTTTTTTAAAAGAAAAATAGAAAATAAGTAAATAAAATTTTATAAGTAACTCTGTTTTAATAAACAAATCATATAAATCTGACAATTGTATAATAAAAATTGTTGCTACAGAAGGAATGTTCAAACATCAATCCCGACTTATTTCCCTTTTAGTTAGAATTAAAATTTTTGATTGCACTTATATAAATAAGACCAAGTCTTATTGTGAAGGGAGTGGGAATATTTAACACTTACAAATTGAGCTTATTCCCTTTCTTTATAAGAATAAAAAAAGACCTGATATTTTCTGTTTCGACTTTCTTATAATTTATAATATATAAAGAAATTAAAGTAAGGACTAACAGACAGACTAGACAAAACGACTTCACAAAGCTCCAGCAAGACTAAAGGGTTTGAAATATTAAAAAAATAAAATAAAATAAAAAAAGTAAAATAAAATAAAATAACGCAGCAATAATTTATAGGGAACTTTGTGCCACCGTAATCTTTTAACCAATACTCCATCACAATTATTTAACATTAAAAATAAAAACAAAATGACAATAATTCAACCTAAAATATCAACCTTTTTTTAGACGGCATTCATATTACTTATATTTATAAAGATACATCTTAAACTTAGTAATAACAATAATTTAAATCTAAAGATATTGGGGATTTATGAAAATTCTGTGTAATCTAGATCTACAGGCGCAGGACGGTTTTTACCATTTAACCAACTTAAATTTGAGGGAAAGTTCAGTTATCAAGTTGGTCATTCTGTCTTATTCTTAGGTTTTCATTTGATGACTAAACTGATCATCACAATTTCTAAACGTATATTTTTCAAACATGTAATTTTTGACCTCCATAAATTCCTAAAACAGCGGTGATGACTGTTAAATATATTTTCACAGAAAGAGAATTTTTCCTTTTTTAATTTAATTTTTTATTGCTAAAATTATAAAGATGAATTTGTATAAATTAGAAAAAAGTTTGATAATACATAAAAATACTATGTTAAAAGTGTGTAAAAATCCACCCACATTTTTATTGCAATTTAATGTCATACAGGAAAAATCCTCTGTTTTCACCTTTAAAACTATGTTAAACACTTGCACGTCTTATTAATTTTTCTAGTCACATCATTTACATGAAAATCAACAATAAATGTGTTCTTAATTAAAAACCCAATACCGGGAATTCTAAGAGATTATATTATAATCTTGTATTAGGCACATTGTGAATTACATCCATTTGGCCTGTGAATAATTAAATAAAATAGCCAACTTTTTATGTATGTAAAGACAAACTGCTAAAAAATAAATATTGTCATTATATATTTAGATACCACTTTACTTCAAAAAATTCCTGCGCTTGAATCCAAAAATGACCATCACCAATCAGTCTTCAGTATAGCATAGTCTTTAAGAACAAAACAAACAATAATAATAATGAAACGATAAGAAAAAAATACAAACAGCAAAAGGAATGCCTATAAATTAAAGATCGTCTTCAAACAAAAAACTGAACTATTTAGACAATGTGCATTGTTAAAATGCATTCAAGTTCAATTTAAGGAATGAACTAAAAATTCAGACATTTAAGTAGCAGACAAAGAAGTAAACATGATTTTAATAAGAGATTATAACAATGGCTTATGTGATTTTCAGTAAAATGTATACCTTTAATCTAATCCTAACCCTACGTGTGATTGCTTATACTACTTGGTATGTACATATATAACGATACACATTATATACTTTTTTGTTTTAAAAAGTAATAAGGAAAATTCACAACTTAACCCACAAACCCAAAATTAAATACACAATTAATTAAGGTTTTTAGTTGAGATAAAAAAGCAATGGCACGAGCGGGATTCGAATTTTTTATCTCAACTAAAAACCTTAATTAATTGTAATATATTAATTGGTCAAGCGGACCACGAAATTAGGGAATTAAATACACACTTATTCAAATAGAAGGACATCAAAGTGAAAGATACATTCTAATAAATTTTGCTTTTTTTTAAACTATTTTACACTTTAATTTTTTCCCTATACTATATATACCACATTTTTGAAGTGGTGATATTATTTACTAATAATGAAAATGTCAGACATAATCATCTTTTTTTATTATTTCTTTTTTTTTCTTTTTTTAATTTTTTTTTAAATATTTTTTATTTTAATCTTTTGTACAACCTTAACCACGCGAACGTGCAAAACACCTAAACCTAAGTAACACTTAAAAGATCATCAAACCACCATACTATGTAACCTAACTCCAACTATTTTGGATTGTTTTATTGTTAAATATATAATAAGACCACTGGAAGAATACATTTTCTTTGTTAAGCTGCTAAATTTACTGGTAAGGCTATGTCATTCCTGTCAGTTATGATGCGTTGATTAGATAAATGACAATTAATTACATTTATATGTTTTACGCATCGGACAAAAGACGACACATTGGTCATGTGATAATCCCTAAAATTAATTCTAACCACAAAAAGAGAAGCCTAATTACATTGAACACATGTTAATACAGACCCTATTTATAAATATACATATGTAGATATATATATAAATGTGTGTGTGTATGTGTGTTATACGCACACCTACCAACACCTCTCTCACTCTCTATTTCTCTCAGATAGCCGCTTTGTTTGTTATTTGAAAAAATAAGCCATTTTGTGAAAATAAATATGATTACTATTTAAGAAAATTCAAGACTGGCACATTATCACTTACATCTAAAAAGAAAATTGTGGTTGTTTTATTTAAATAATTTATTTTAAAAAATTATATTGACTAAAAAAGTTACAATTTGTTGGTTCGTTTAAAATCTCACCATAGTTTCTTACTCCTTAAGACTGTTAATTATCTGAATGATATGGCTTACACTGAAACAATTTTTAACACAATATCTCCATCTGAATATTAATTTTTAGTGTCCCTGCAAGGTAAAACAATTCGTTGTGGTAACATAAAGAGAAAGTAAAAATATTATTGCTCTTATCTAGGCATATTGGTGTTTATTCTGATCCCCAGACATAAAGAAAGCCATTTTGTTTACAACTGATTGTCACTTTTCCCATATTTGAACCCTCCCCCCCAAAAATATCCTCTCAAGAATTACAATCAAATGATGCTTGAGAGTCCTCGCAGAAACACCTTTTATTTCATTAATCACAATAATACTATCAATTTACACGACACAGCAAATCTACCCATTTTAATCTTTAAATATATAATTGTCCTTATTTCCTACCTTTAAGAACTTTTATCAACACACACATAACACATAATAATCCGATTGCAACAGACAACATACAACATCGAATAATATTCATCATTAAAAAGTAAAACATCTTCAAACAAAAGTGGCACTTGAATCACAAAATCTTAGGAAACAGGTTTTTTAATTTTTTTTTCTTTTTTCTCCAATTAATTAGTTTTGGACATTTTAATATTTCAATAACATTATTCAAGGTTAAGTTAAAACATCATTTACATACAAAGAATTTAAAGAAATCAATGAAAAATATGCTGTTAAGATTGTTTTTGATTAACTGCATTTTTGAACTAGATATTTTACCTTGGCCTACAAATAATTATACGAAAGAGAGAGAAAAATGAGATTTTTATGAGTACATCAACTTTTTAAAGCATTAATTTCAACATTTACAGTTTGCTGAAGGTATTACATTATTTGGTAGATAATTGATTTATACTCTTTAGAAAGATTTTAGAAGTCTTGTTTTGATTATTACTTGACAAATAACAAACAAATCACATTTTTTTAAACAGTGTGCATATTTTTTTTTTATAAAAATAAATAAATGATAATAGATATAAATTAACGGCCCCTGTTTCTTTCTCTTAATATACTCTCCTTTGTGCTATTTAACAATTTTGGCCTATACTAATTTGACTAATAAAGCTCTGATAAGCGTGCCCAAAACTAACAGCAAAAGTTACCACAATTTCCCCATTGTTAGAAAAACTTTGATATAAAAACTCGTTATTACATACATACTTTGTATTAATTAAAATTGTTTATTCAATTTATTATATTGATTAAAATTTAACTTTTGAGGAAAACATTTGGACTTTTAGTGCTATGAAGGGCATAGGATTTTTTTTATTTATTAATTTTTTTGACAAGGTTGTCATTTGGGCCTTGGAAAATATTGTTTTATTTATTTTTAATGTTTTTAAAATATATTATTATCAAAACATAGGTACACTTGTTTCCAACAATTGAAAATATGTTAAGATATGTAAATTGACGACCGACTGTAAAAGACAACCGAAAGGCTTTATTACCCAAGCATAAAGAAAAAATTAACCCTTAACTACATAGTAAATATATCATTATCATTATATATTAAATTATGGGATACAGCCATGTGAATTGTGAACATATCACTTGATTAGTAATCACGAGCACAAATTGACAAGTTACCGTTTGTGTGTGTGTGCCGGTGTCCTGCCAGTTCTCCATTTTTATTTTATTACACAAATTTTAATATATATATATTATAAGAGTCAATATATTATCACAATACGAGAGGAGTTTAGGTGTGTGAGCAAAACAGGCCACAAAGTTGACCGAAGACCAGAGATTGAATTTGTAAGAGCACTAAAATACACTTTTTTTAAATTTTCTTTTCTTTTCTTTTTTTAACTAAAAGACTTTGTCTGCACCCTTAAGTAATCAGTGTCTATCTAGACATTGGTAATTTTATTGCAATGGAAACCTTTTTAACATCTTATGCCATAAAATATAACGTTTCCATTCCCATTAACAATACATCAATTTTTTTTTAAATTTTTTAATTTTTATTTTTTTTTATTTAGTAAATATAATAATCATCCCTATACCTATTGACTTAAAATGTTATATGTCTTAAACCTAAACTAACTTTTCCAATCAATAATTTTACTATATTTATTTATTTACTTAGTTCTATAAAAACACAAGCTTTCATTTGTTATATTGTTAAATTCTCCTAAACGTAATATTTGGTTGATGTTTATTGGCAATTTCAAGAGAATAGTAAAGCACATCTATAATAAATGTACAGTTTAATTAAATCTAACAAATTTAATCGAGAAACTAAAACTTGGCAATTCAACTTTCACATTATTTCAATAATCAGACTATAATGAAATCTTTAGTGTATAACAAGATATATATCAGGACCCGGAGTGGCCAGGTGGTTAGGGGATTAGGACGGGTCAGCGCTGTTTACGTTCAAACATGTTTAAAATTTTAATAACACAGATAATATATTATAAAGTGTCTTTTCATTATTAAATTTTGTTCAAAAGATGTGTGGAAGACGCACAAGATCACTCTTTCCTTGCTTCCCCCATTATCAGAAAATCTAACTGACCAAAAATCCGACACTTTGTACCATAAATTCGCATTACCTAAGTCAAAATTTGTATTAGAAATAAAAATGTAGCCAATTATGAGACCATATTAGAGAAGATTAAAAATACACACTAAAAGCCACTTGCTTGCTCACAGCACAATGTTATTTTCAAAATATATATAATTAATATATATATGTATATAGATTACACACTCATATTAGACTGAAGGTGCACAACCTACATAATGATAGCAAATATTATTTAATGTCCCATTTATGCGTCCAAGAAGAAAAAAAATCAATATTTATATACCATATACACCGCATTGTGACTTATAAAAATAAAAACAATGTGACAAAAGGGATAACTACCAAGCTAAATATGAGACAACCATTTATACAATATAGTTTTTCTTAAATACTACTACAGTGTATGTCAAATCAAATTTGTTGTAACTTCATACTGATAAAAGCAAAATAAACTCAAAAATAAACAAACAAAACACAATAACCATGCTCACTAGTATCAATCTTTTATAAAATAGCTTTTTTTGTATAAATTATTCACAAATACTCATACAGTCTGATTGTAGACGACAGGAACTTGTCGCTTCAAATATATTAAGGATAAAGAGGATAATAATAATAGTAATTAGAATAATCATAAAATTACAACCAGGTCATGTATATTTTTGAGATCAGATTGAAGGATAAAATTTTCCTTTTTTTGTACATAAAAGAGGGGAATCTATCCATTTTTCTCTTAAATGGACTCACTACCAAGAAGATCACCTGGAAGGAAGGAATTGATGGACGATGGTGTAGTTCTATGCTGGTCAGACGAGTCACCCCAAAGTGAGGCAGTTGTTGACCCACTACCAGAACTTGTTCCCCCCCATAACTGGGAGTTACTTGTTCCGGGCCAAGATTCTTTTGTTGGTCTCCAGGCAGCACCGCCATTTCCACTTTGCTGGCCAGTGCTATGGCCCAAGTGCTGCAGTAGTGACAAGACATCACTCTCACTTGGACTTTCAGCAAAAATTGTTGTATTGCCCAAAACGCAATTATTCAAAGCCCCTTGTGCCTAAAATACAATGTTGATATAATTCACACATTACTCATATTCAGAGCTTTGAAGTTGAAAATTTCTCAGAGACAATTATACTTAATATCCTGCTTAATTCAATGCTAAACCGCCATGTATAAATAATGAGTACAGACCACATTACTATTTAGCTATATAAAAAACATCAAAAAACCCTAAATGTAATATTGAAAAACTTCATACCAGCAGTAACAAACCAAGTTTTATATAACATTTTTTTTTAATCTATAAACAATTTTAAATGAAATTTTATAAATTAACATTTTTTCAAAACAAAAACACCAATAAATTACATTCAGTAATTACAAAAAAAAAAAATCATATTTTACAGATAAAACTAATACTGTACTGTAATACTAATAAGTATCAATTTATGTGTGTATATATATAAATATAAGGTGCACTGAAACCACGATAACACACAAGATAAATTGTATGTGTGTGTGAAAACCTTACATTCGTCCAAACAAAAAAATTACACTTGAAAATATTATTTACTGATACTTGGTTGATATACTAATTGGTTGATAATTGCATGTATGAATTATAAACACCTTTTTTAATTTGTAACATTAAAAAAAAAATTGTCTTTCTATATGAACTAGAGATTGATGGCAAGCAGAAAGGCACAAGGTGCTGATGTTTACATGACACAAACAACGTTGTAAATGTAAGCTAATAGTAAAGTAGACTATAACTAGAATGGTATATAGACACTACCTAGATAAATAGAATTCTATAATAATTACCATCTCACCGATAGTGAGACCTCATAACAAAATCCCCTAGATTGTACAAAAACCTACCTAATTTATAAAGCATCACATTGAAAAGTTTTTATATCTAAATAAATAAACTGAAAACTCACCTTGCTAGCTTCTTCTCGTGACGAATATTTGGCCAAGGCTATGCCATGATTCAGGTACAAGTGAAAACTTTGTAAGGGGCCATGCTGAAGGCAAAGTGTTTTCAATGTAGAACCGTCAATCTGTAACACAATAAAGTAATTAATTCTTTTAATTTACAACAACAAATAAACATTGTATCATGTTCACATGAACATTTAATGTCATAGTATATGTAATCCAATTAGGTTTTGAAATACCTCTACTATTTTTCCAACTCTGCGCTAAAATTCTTTTTTAAACTTGATTCAAGAAATAGACAAAATTACTTAAAATTTGGTAAATTTGTTTAACTAACTTGTGGTGTGAGGTTACGAAGCAGAAGCCAAGTTGATCCGCCAGCTGGCTGCGGCCAAGATGCCTGTGGTCCTCCCCATCTTGAGGAGAGCCACCCATTGCTCGCTTGTCCACTACTGCCACTAGGCTGTGAAGGTGCTCCTTGGCTTCCCTGAGATTGTGGTTTAGCTGGCAATCCTGGAGGTGGCCCTCTAGGCTTTGGAGTAGCCCATAATTCACTGCTTGAAGAAGTTTGCACGGATGAACCAGTGCCCGATTCTCCCCAAGATGTAGTGCCACTACTACCAGCAGAGCCTGAAGAAGTAACACCAGCGGAAACAGTTCCTTTGCCACCACTTAATTTACTTAGACCACTGTCAAACATATCACTGCAATAAACAAACATTTATATTCCCTGAAGTAATAATACAAATTAGTAAAAATAATAAAAATTATAATACCTTGTGCTAGATACAGGAGGGTTGAAACTCCAAGTGGATGAAGAAAGACTCAAAGATGGTATCTGAGGCATGATTTCAATCGAGCTGCTTGTTGTTGGTGATGCTTTCCCTGTTACTGATGAACTCGATGATAATATATGAGAATCCTTGATTGGAGGAATGGACAAAGGAGGTCTGGCCACTGACCCTGGAGTCATACTGGGGTCATCCTCAATACTTTTTAGTGGGTTCCCCTTCATTTTTAATTAAAAAAATATTAATTTCTATTTAGATTAGATTTTTAAATTTTTATTAACATATGAAGTATTGATACATTTAAAAATGTATAATTCAAATTTGAAACATTGCCTTCCTCGACTTTATAATAGGGGGCAGTTAAAGAAATATGTACATATACGGGCAGTGAAGATATTAGTAAACACATTTTAAGGTTACAATAATGAACTAGTGTAAGCATGGAAGGAGAGAGAAAAAAAAAGCTTCTAATGCAACCAAACAATATAGCAACTCTTCAAAAATAAAAAAATTGATAAATAACAATGTTCTGTATAAGTATGTTTGATACCTGTTTAATATTAGACCAATTTAATTTTTGATATCTTAGAAAAGAAAAAATATTCTAGTCTATGACTAACATAACTGTTTTTTTATTACATTCATTCATTCACACACTCACATACACTCACACACTTAACACAAATGAGAATAATTTAACTGCAAAATTAAATGACATTGTGTAAAGAATGCTTAAAATCCAAACAGTGTAAAATATTTTGTTCTTGCCATTCATAAGTCATTTTCAAATTAAGTTATATATTAATTAAGTCATAAATAATAGACTTTTAAAATTGGCAATAAGTAATAGTTAATTGATAAAATAAATAGAGTTAAAATTAAATAATTTCTTATGAATGGAAAGATTCAAAGTATAGGAAGGGTATGAAAACAATGAGTAAATGCATTGAGAATTTGTATAAGAAATTTAAAAAGGATATGAACAAAAATAAAACTTTGTGTGCAAAATAATTGTAATAACTCTCAAGTAAAACTAATTATTAAATGAGATTTTAAAAGTTAAAATGAAAAAGTAAGGATAAAATGAATCAAAAAGAGAAGTGGCTGAATTTATAAAATGAGAATGCACGCATTGAAGCTGACTGTGATATGTATATATAGTTATTTTTCATATTTCAATTTGTTTCAATTTTTTAGGCCATCAGCTTACCTGAAATCAATCCCACAGGCCATGCTGATGGAACCAACATCATCAAAAAATATCAACATACAACTTCATGACATGCTAGCATATTTAATAATTGTTGATCCTTGCATAAAAGCTAAACTCAATACAAACATAAATTAATTAGATTTTAAGCATTATTATTGAAATGTTGGTTAAAATACAAAATATTTGGATTATTGTTGTATAAAGGGATTAAGTATAGTCACTGGTTATCAACTTGTTTTATGAACAAATACAATATGCGGTTATTAATTAACATCCAAACTTGTTGGACCATATGAAATAATCACAAACTGAGATTTCAATGTATTAAGTATTATTGCTTTGTGTGTGAATAAAATAATTTGTTTTCAACATTCTCTACTAGTTTTGAATTATGATAATATTTGTTACACACCTTCCAAGGTTTTCCAGGTTCAAATTCTGGAACAAGATCTGAGAACGATTGTGAAGATTGAGTAGTGGTTGGCCAATCTTTGGACGAATTATCATCACCACCAGAATCTGGCCATCCAGTATCACAATTGGTTCTATTTACTGATGACCAGGTCCTAGATTAAAAAAATGATTATGTAGTTTCCAAGAATTTGTTAGTTAAAAAGGAGAGAAAAAAAGAACCTACCCATCAGGTTGTCCGAGGAGTGGATTGATATTAGGAGATGAGTTTCCTGGAGCTGGTTTGGCAGTTGAACCTGGAGCTCGACTAAATTCATTACCTGTTCCCATTTCAGAGTCCTTGTCCAATGCAGGAAGTTTCCATTGATTCAATCGTGACTGTTGTCCTGTTGTTCCAGACTTCAAAGGGGAAAAACATTTTAATGCTGCCCTCTATTTTCAATATAAAAAATAAAATAACTTGATTCTTATTACCTGCGGGTCTTTCAAAGTCAAGTCCGAAAAATTGGAATGTAATGTCGAGGACATTGTTTCATGAATCGGAGTTTTGAAAAATTCACTCGACTGAGGAGTTTGCTGTTGGTGCTTAACATAAATTGCCTGTTGGGCAGCAATTTGATTCTAAAAATGGGAGGAATATTAGTTACATTTTAACTTTTTTCAACCCTCCATTAAAAACCAACCTGCAAATTGCCGATTTGTTGTTTAGTCTTTGTTATTTGGACAGTTATTTGCAAAAGCTGGTTTGACGATGTCGGCTTGTTCAGTGGGTTAAGTATTACAGTGTGATGTTGCATTAACTGTTGAAGATTTTTAATCTGCTGCAGCAACTGATTCAGAAGAATCAACGTTTGTGGGGCAAGGGGCTGACTCAATATCTAAAACAGAACACTTATAGTACTGTGCATCAATTATATGAAAGTTGGTTAATTACCTGAGGAGTCAAATATCCGTTTTGAACTGCCATTTGAATTTGTTGAACAAGCATCCTTAGTTGTTGGGCAGTCGGCTGTTGTGTCTGCTGAGTACGAGAGGACTGCTACAATTTATTAAATTTTTTTAATTAAAATAAAAAACGGGTAGGTAACTAAAAGTAGACAAGGTCATTGAGCAATCCAAAGGCCAATAAATAAACACAGCAACAATCAATAATTCATGTTAAATAACTTAAACTTTTTTTTAAAAATTGGCGAGTTGTACTAAATACAAAATCCTATACACACTGCAAAGGTAATACATAAAATAAATGCTGTTTCAATTATTCTGTATCACTAATAAAAACAGGTTTATTTATATTGGCTTTATTTTTTATTTATTTATTTTAAACATCCTTCTCATTAATTTCCCACGAGGCAGCACAATTCAAATATTTAAGAATAACAAAAAGTGTAAGTATGGTTGAGATACCTAATTATTATTATTTTTATGTGTATTATTGTGTTCAATTAATTTTGATATTTTACTGACTAACCAACAATGGTTTCATGTCAAAAATTATTTAATTGTATACTAGTAGCATACTTGAGTAAAGGGTGGTTGCTGCTGAGGAGGAGGTTGTTGGCTGAGTAATTTTTGCATAATAGCAGGGCTTATTGTGGCCAAGCTTGGATTGCTATTATTCAGTACATTTCCACCAGCTCCACCACTCGCACTACCGCCTCCGCCACCATTCTGTACAATTATTCGAACATTAAATATTGATACATATTTATAAATGCCAAGTTAAAAATATATTAAAAAAAAAAACTAAATATCAACTAAATAGTTTGGTAGTAAATTATTACCGCTTGAAAAGGAATGCATATTGTAGGTTGTGGTGACGGGTAATTGATTATAGGGTGTTCAGGATCCAAATCAGAGTGTCTCCAGCGCTCGTTTCTTGTAGCATTTAATTGTTCCAAAGCGTCTTCCAAAACCAATCCAGATGCTCGTAATGCATTCTCAACATCCTCTTTCTATAATGTAATATATGAAAATGAATAATTTACTAGTAAATATATAAATTATATGTTATATGTAACAACGTTTTCTCTGCTTTATTATGGGTCTTGTTAAATTGTTAAGTAAGTAATTTTATGATTTTGGACTTAGAAGAACTGTTAATTTTACCTTTGCCCAGTAATTTTATTTAGAAAACAGAAAACTAGTGCTAAACTGGGTTTTATTGGCATTTTATTATATTACAACATAAATGGCAAATTATACATACAAAAAAAATGTTGAAAAACTAACCACGATTAAAATCCAGATATGTATTTACATTTTAATGATTGGTGGCACATTAATCCCTAAACACAAATAGAAACTTGCAGTATTAACATACCTTAAATCCCATGTCAGTAAGCATTCTGTATTGTTTACTTCCCCAGATCATCTCTTTTGAAATAGTTTTGGATGGCTAAAAAATAGACAATGTTAAAATAAATTAGTAATACACGAGTGTATAAATAATCCGAGTTTTAGTACATACTGGTTTAGTGGTGTGTCCAACCCAGGATGAGGACGGATCAATTTCCCCATCCCAGCTTGGTTTATGCTTTGGCCCACTCTGCCAAGAAGATGGTGTGAGTGTTTGATCCATCCAAGGTGCTGGTTTGTCATCAGCCCAAGGTCCAGCATTCACGTCAATACCTCCTTCACCCCATCCGCCATTTCTACACCAAATAAACAATATGTAATTTGCATTTAAAATATTTATTTATTTTTAAAAAATATATATCCACCTTGGATGGTGTGGCCAGATGATAGGTTGATCAGGCTTCATATTAGGATTACCACGCCCAGGAGGACATTGTAAGCCTCTTCCAATTCCTGTTGCAGGCATCTCTTTCCAATGTGAGACTTTGTTTTGTCCTAATGAAATAAAAAAACATGTTCATATCTTACGCTAATTTTAATATTCCAATATATCAAACCTGGTAATGTGGGTCTAGAATGCTGCTGACCCCATAGAGATGTTCCATCATCATAATTGGGCATATTTCTTCTTTGTGCTGGAGGTGAAGGTTCCTCCCACCCTGATTTACCACCAAGGCTCATTTCTTTTATCGGTGGGCCACCACCTCCAGACCATTGGTTAACACCTACCAAGAAAATTTATAAACATTGTACTTTCCAAAAGAACTGTATATGATTAAATTTTGTGTTCATTAATATTGAATAAATAAATTACCAGGTTGGCTGGGATGATTAGGAAGTTTTGTTTGATGGTGAGGGATGTGATGATGTGGACCAGGGCCTGTTGGCCACATGGCATCATTGGGCACACCGTTGAGACGGCCAGTGATTCCCCCTCTATGGTCTCCTCTCATGAGCACATCATTGTTGCCAATTGATCTAAAAAATTGTAAAATAAAATTTCATGTAAATCTCACAAAATATTATATTATCTCTTAAAAAGTACCTATTGTCCATGTTGCCTGGGCGCATATTTTCACGTGTGTCAATCATTTGACGCATTTCTCCATGACGGATATCTCTGGGGTCTCCTCTTTGATCATTCCAGTTGGGACCTCCCCATTCACCCTCTTTCTTTGCTGTCCCTGCTGTAAAATAAAAAGTTAATTTTTTATCGCACAAATTTTAACTAAAGGGATCTCACCAGGCCAAATCTGGGGAGGTTGATTGGGCCATTGAGGAGCCGTACCAGCTGCTGGAACTCCAGTCCAAAAGTTTGAAGTGTCCATTTCATCGTCTTCTCCCCAAGTACCTCCTATGTTACTACTCGGAGTATGTCCCCATGCAGTCTTCTGAGCTTGGTTCTGAGGAGGTGGAATTCCTCCATTTCGTAAATTGGCTTCCCAAAGATCAGTTCCTTAAAACATTTTGCATGTTTATATTAAGAATATCTTTATATATATTTTTAAAAAAAGTTCATTCATTATACCATTATTTATGGGCAGCTTCCAAATGGGCACAGCAGCAGCATTGTTGTTTTCTTTATTTCCTGGTTCTGGAGATCCTGGGATATCCCAGACAATGTCTTGGTTAACGTTTTGCTAAACAAACAAATATGTTTTTAATGATTTTAATTTAAACCTGGAAGACATAATAAATAGTAAACACTTACTCCTCCCCATCCATCTTGACTGAAAAGAGCTTCCCTCATAGTGTTAAGTTGTTCCATCTGTTGCTTTGTTGAATTAGAACTGTTTGAGGGATTAGATGTCGGAGTGGTCTGCTGAGAAGGGAGACCTCCTTTTCCTGCTGTAGCAGCTGCCCAGCTGGTGCTTCCTGTATTCCCTCCAGTTCCAGTCTGTGTTCCACTTTGACCAGTTGTACCATTTTGGCTGACTGCAGTCTGCTGATTTGCTGCAGTTGAGCTGCTATTGCCAGACGAACTGTTTGAATTTGTCGATGTTGATGTGTTGACATTTGCTGAAGTACTGTTTGGAGCCGTTGTAGTAGCAGGGACCTGGGTTTGACTAGGTGGCCCCCCTTGTGCTTGCTGAACAACTCCAGAGCCAGACTGCCCTTGTCTACTATTGTTATTGTTATTATTGTTTCCTCCTCCTTGTTGTGACCCCTGTGTGGACTGTTGGCCAGTGCTCCCAGAAGTCCAACCTGTGGTCCCACTCTGACTGGTTGGTGGTGTTCCCCAACCATCTGTACCTGTTAGTGCACTTTCCCCTCCCCCCAGCAGTTTAAAACATCGTGGTATCCCCCATCGACTGTAATAATCACAGATTTTAAAGCTTGGAAATTCAGCATAATCGTTGGTTTGTGGAATGTTCTGTAGAGTTGAACTCTGTTTTGTTTTTTTATCAATTAAATTATTTAAAACCTTACAACTAACTTCACTATCATTATTATTAATATTATTATTAGAGTTACTAGACGACTTAATGCTATCAAAGCAAAGAGCACCCGTTTGTTTTCTCTCTGCTCCTAACATCATGGAAGAACCGTCAGATTCACTTTTGCTTATCTGAAAAATTACAACAATAAAATAATTGAAAGTTTTCAATAGACAATCTTATTAAAAATTGTAAGTACTTACTGCACAAGGAACCTTGGCGGGCGCTTGGGACGGATGGCAGGCTATCACAGTCAGGCTGGGGTGTTCTCCCACTCCACTTTCCCCAATCACCACCACCATTTTGTCCTGATTATATATATAATATTTAACAATATTTTAATATAAAAAATAAAAGTTTAAAAAAATTAAGAAGATACTAACCCTTTTTTCAGGCACTTGAAATGAAGGACAGATGGAAATGTGAGGCTGCGCCACACCTATCACATCTCCATCGCGATCCTCCTATAAACAATAAAACCATCTTATGTTAATATATAAATTAAAATAAAACCAACACACCAAACGAGCAGAAATAAAAACATCGTTACACTTACATCGTTAATTTGTACAAAGGCATTAATTTTAGAAGAAATCTCATCTGAACTAGATTGGTTTGGAAACATTGGCTCTCAGTTCTCTTTGGCAGGGCAATGCAAAAACCAAAGTCTATATTAACAAACATAAACAAAATAAGATACATATGCAATAATGAATAAGATAAAAACATAATAAGTGCCTACACACCTTAAAGACTAAGATAGTATTCATGGGCATATTCCATTCTCACAAATCTGTAAAATATAAACTATTAAAAACAATTTGTAACAGATACAATACAAAATGTTACATCAACTGTTTGTTAACTGTTTTTATTTCAATTAATAAGGTTTTTTGTTAACAGGTTTATGCTTTTAGTTTTTCTGATTTCATTATAAATTATTTGTTAGTTTCATGATAACAGTGTATGTTGTAAAATTAATTAATCAAGATAATAAAAAATAACTTATGATGACATGTTATGACCAAGAGGGTGGCGAAGGGAGGGAGGGAGGAGAGGGAGAGAGGGAGAGAGAGAGAAAAAGAGTGAGACAGGGTGAGGGAGAGAGAGAGATCCCCTGAAGTAATGCAGATTATGGATTTATTCTGAATTCAAATTAAACTGTGTAAATATTGTACAAAAATAATTTTCATTGAGTGAAGACAACCTGGATGAGACATGTAAAGCCATCGTTGAACGGATGTTAAAAGAAGAATCAATTTTCTATTTGACTTTATAACATCAATCCAGACTTCTGTTGAGAGCAAAATAACCAACTAGTAATACTGGTTGTTATACTTTGGTTTTTAAATGTGGTCCCTAGTGGATGGCCTTATTTCTTACATTTTTAACAATGGTGCATGGTGGGAGTGTTCAGCCACAATAACAAGATAGTTTCATCACCTTTTTTATTTATTTCACGTTTTGGAGCATCTAGCTTCTTTTTAACAGTGTCTGAATTAAGTTAACAAAACTTGTCCAATTATCCTTAAAAAATGTAAAAAAGGACAACTTCCTCCAACATAAACAATAAGACTTGATCAGGTAGAATTCCTAATTGTTTCTGCTGGAGGAAGTTCTATTTTTTTTTTTTTATTAAAAAAAAATTAACTAGATTTTCATTGTTAATGTTGTAACAAGATTTGTTCACAACTTATTTCAAACACTGAATAACGAGCCAGTTGGACTGAAATTAAATAAATAAATAAGGTGACAAAACATCTTGTTTTTTGGCACAACAACGACCCACCATACACCACCAATAAAAACATTGCTTTTTAAATTTCAGGATAATAAACTGGATGGACGTTTTTGTTATTTTAAATTGTATGCATTTTTATCGTAACATTAATGCCAACATACTCATCTTAATGTAAACTAAATTAAATGATTTTTTCACTGAAGGTGGTGCAATGCCGAAACGCATTTGAATAACTAAAAAAAAAATTTTTTTTTTAAACCGAGAGTGAAGACAGACCCAGTAAGTGGCCATGTGCTGGATTCTACATAAATTAAATGAGATCAGAAATTCATAAGTAATAAAAATTGTTTAATTATGTTAGTATGAAAGAAAATTCACCAAAACACCATTATATAATTTAGTGATAGACCAAAATTTTAATTTTTTTTTTTGTATGAAAAACAATTTTTTTTAGTAAATTCATTACTTATTTAACCATTTATTTTGACGTTTTAAGAATTTACACCCATCATCTTTATTTTTTTTATTAAATATATATCTTTTAAAAGATAACTGACCATTTGCATTTGCCAACTTAAAATGGGTAGGAAAGAAGAAGAAAAAAAACTAATGAGTGTAAATTCCCAAAAAGACCAAATAAATGTTTAAGTAAGTACGGGATTTATTTTAAAAAAAGGATTGTTTTTTAACAAGCCTCCAAAAAATTGTTAAATTTTAAATTAACACTGAACTATGTTCCTGTGTTCCGGTAAATTTTATTTTAAACCATCATAATTAATTTTTTTAAATTAAAACATGAATTTTTTAAATCGGGTTTAATTAAAATAACTATGTTGTAATTATTAAAACAATAAAAACACATATAGTTTGAATTTGAAAACTAATCTTTGTCACTGACTCTCATATTTTTACTTTATTTCTCCTGCTTTCTTAACTTGCTAACTCCTCGCAGTTACCTCAGGTTGCTACCAGGCTCTACCAAAGTTGTTTTAGACCTATCTGAGAGTCCCTGTCCACAGGAATCTTTTGATAAAAGTTGAAAGATTTACTTGTTATGGAGGGAGACCAGAGTGCTTAATGTTACATGAGGAATGATAATAATAAACATTTTTAGGTGCTTATTATTTTCAGTTTGTCAAACAACTAAAAAATATTTACAAAATGTAATCAAATTGAATAGTGTACTCCAAGTTGGTGAAAGATTTATTATAAGTTTTAAAAAGTGTCGTGTTTAGTGATTGTTAATAAATGATTATTTGGAAATTGTGAAAAATATGTTAATAAATGATTATTTGAAGATTGTGAGATGCAGCCTGGTGTGATGTAGGTTTAGAAAAACAATTTCTTTATCATGCCAACATTTCTATCTTTAAAGAGAACATTTTCAGAAAACAAACACTTCGAGTGGGTACAAATACTTTGATTGAGTCTAAAATTTCTATCGTTGTATAAATTCATTTTTTCACATCTTACATGTATTTGTATAATTTAAACAATGTTTATACATCCCAGGCCCTAAAGATGATCTCAATGAAGATCGAAATGTTGGCATGATAAAGAAAATGTTTTTCTAAAACCTACGTCACACCAGACCACATCTCACTATCTCCAAATAATCACAGTTGTAAAATTAATGAAATGAATAATTTGTAACTTAATTGAAATCACCTCAGAAAATTTATCTTTGGTCGGGGCCCTTACAAATAAATTTTGGCTAAATCTTGGAAAAAATTGAAAAACAAAACATATGAGGACTAAAGAAAATAAAAACAAATGTTGATATACCACTACAGTAGTGTGGATTACAGACATTGCATTAATTACATATAAAAAATGTTTTCAAAAAAATATATTTGTTTCTAACAAGAAGGTGAAAAGGTGGTGTGTTCCAACATGGGGGAAAAAACGCCAGAATTCAACTTCAGTTCAACGTTGTATTATCAATCATGTTTGGTATTAGACACTCAGTCTGGCAAACGAAATTCAAACAAAAATTAACAAAATGTTACTTTACCATTAAATAATTTTTGTCGCTTCGAACAATGTCCCCAATTCAAAGAAATCTAATTTCAAATAATTATTCTCTCTCTTTTTTTTAATATAAGGTCTCGGTTGAGATGAAAAAGACCTTACATTAAAAGATTATTAATTGATAGAAGTAGTTTGGACAACTAGACCACTAAAGCATAATGGATCTAATTTCATATGTTTAAAAAACATCAGAAAAATTATGGATGTTTTAAAAATTAAGTGTCTTTTCTATAATAATAACACTAGTTCCTTTCTTTTTTGGTTTAAAAATTCTATTTGTTTTAATACTATACACCTATCTACACAACATTGTAAATTGTCAAATTAATTAAATAAATAATTTTAACTTAATTCAAATCACTTCGGTAAATAAAACATAACAAGGTAAATAAGTATTACCTTAGGTCTGTTATAAGTAAATTATGGCAAATTCTTACAATTAAAAATTGTAAGAATTTTTATTGTATAATATACTTGGTGATAACATCTTATATTAATTATTTTTCTAAATAAGTATTAGCTTCTAATAAAAAAAGTTAAAACGGTTTGGTGTTCCAACACATAAAAGAAAATTAGAATTCAATTAAAAATTCAGTTCGACTTGTAACTAAAAAACTTTTAAACAAAAGGCAAGAAAAAAGAGAAAAAGACAAATTAGTCATAAAAATGTCAATGTTATTAAAATTAATTATAACAATAATAAATTACCTAGTTCATTTCAATTTGTTTAAAACAAAATTGCTTTAAATGCTACACAGCAAGCTGCTTAATATTGTAAATTATTGCAATATTGATTAAATAAATAATTCTTACTTAAATGTAATCACATTAGGTCTGTTATAAGTAAATTATGGCAAAATCTTGGAATAATAATTAAAAAAAAAAAAAAAAAGAGAGAAAGCAAGAAAATGAAAACAATGTTAATGTTCTAGTGTACTGTTGATTAAGGGCTGACTGAAAATGTTATTAAAAATAATTAAAACAATAATAAATTACCTAGTTAATTTCAACTTGTTTAAAAAAATGCTTTAAATGCTACATTCCAAGCCACTTAATAACGTAAATTATTGCAATATTAATTAAATAAATAATTCTAACTTAAATGTAATCACATTAGGTCTGGTATAAGTAAATTATGAAAAAATCTTGGAATAAAAAATTAAAAATAATTAAAAGAGAAAGAAATAAAATGAAAGTAATGTTAATGCCGACTGAAAATTCCATGCGAAATAAAAAAATATATATATATATGTAAATGTATTATTTTATATGAAAACGAAAAAAAAAATTGGGTGATTTAAATTCGAAAACAAGAATTCGATTTGGGATCGACTAGGTATTATCAATCGTGGCTGGTATTTGAGCACTTCTCTCAACGCGACATTCGAACAAATAGGAGTAAAAGGAAATTTCACCATTCGACCAGACTACACAGATTCACAATAAAGTATCAAAATCATAATCAATCTAAGGAGAAAAATCTGAAAAAGATTCTGACAGTGTTAATAATTTATTTTAGCAAGTCAGTCCAAAACAACTACAGAGCAATTAAACATAGAATCTTAGGGCCGGGAGTAAAAATAGAAGTTATAAGGCAAACCCGACATAGTTTAAAAGGGCGGATGAGTTAAAAACTGTGGATTTACAATAGGGACGGTACGGGATCGGAAAATAGTGTAACGCAGTCGGACCCGTATTATTGCGTAGAGGTCGAAAGGTAAAAAGACGAGGGGAAAAAAATAGCTCCGTTAATCGGGAGCAATGAGACTTGGATAAAAACTTACGCTTTCATTGTATCTTCCGATTACATTTTCACACCGTTACGTTTGAGACGGGCCGGGACACTCGAAGATGAACTCTTTTTATGACTAAAATTTTGCTTTTAAACAGTTTGAAAGTCAGATCTGGCAAATGGCCGATCGAGGAAGCCAATTCAGTGTGTGTACAGTCTCGAAAGATAGTAGTTGGTTGATCGGACGGTGGCGGCGTTGCTGCAGCGAGCTGGCCGCACAGGCTGTTCCAACCGCCGAGCTCACTCCCCTCAACCCAATTACCCGCGGCATAGTTTCTCAGTTGAAAATCTCGTCGAAAAACCGACCACGGTTCCTAGCCGGGCCAAAAGGACGATTTACGCACTTTTCTCCCTTATAAAATGGGTCCGGCGAATTTCGCCTTTTTCACATTTTCCTACCCCCCACCACATGCAGTTGCTTCTATTGATCGGCGTGTAGCGTTGTTGTCAAGCGGGCCGTTCCGTCTCCCGTGCTCACCCCACGAGAACTGCAGGGGAATTCTTTCGGATCCGAGAGATGGGAACTTTTCGAAAAAGCCGAGGCAAAGATGGCCCATTAAATTGAAACAATATGACCCCCAGAAATGGCATAAATAAAAACAAAAAATTTAAAAAATCTCGCTCGGCTACGATCCACAATGATCCGACGGGAGGGCAACAAAATAAATAACGTCGCACTACCGATTTGTGCGCTTTCGACCGTCCTCCGTTACCGGTTACGACCGCTCCTTTTTCAAGCATTCTTCCTAAGCCCTTTCTGTACAAAATTAAAAAAAAAATACTTAAGATATTTCAACATAAATAATTTAAATTTTGTACTGCAAAATGCTAAGTCGAAAAAGAGGGGGCAAGTATTCTGACGAATTTCTTCTGAGGCGCATGGCGGAAGGAACTACCTTATATAATCGGACACCAGAGAATTTGTGAATTTATTTCCCCTCGATTATCAATTTATCAAACTTCGTAATAATATATAATAATAATCGGGTTTTTCAAACTTTCATTACATGATATACAAAAGAAAACACATTTTTAGCCATGAACTGTACGTCTGGCGAGTTGACCAAAATTCAAACTTAAGATTTGTTTTAAAGCACATTGTGAAATAAAATACTATCGACACATAGGATAATTAATTTTTTTAATGACATGAGCCGCTGTAATGATTAAACTGTAGTAATAAGATTAATAATTGAATTCTCCTATCAAAATATTTCTACACATATTTGCAACTATAAATTTAAAAAATTACATTAATCCATGCAATTTTCCCTATTTAATTTCCTACTTCATTTATTGAAAGATCATTCTTTCAAACCATCTGACTCTGAATTCTAACAACACAAGGGCATATAGCCATGAAATGAAACAGATTTTCTTTTTATTTTTTACTACATAAGTATCACAATTTTTTGCCCTTCTGTTCGCCAAAATGTATAGTTTAATTTTAATGAATCGCTTCTGCATTTGAAAACGTAAACTCCTATAAATACTTAAAATTATGATTTTTCCTTCTTGAAGGTGGGATAATAGGTCATCTAAAAAAAAAGCACAACCAGTTTTTATCCACAACGTTTCGGATTTATTTTAATCCTTCTTCAGGTGAGTTAACGCAATGATTAAAACAGTGGTCGTCAGTCATTAATATTTTATAACAGTTTATTTTAAAAAAGATTCAGTGTGGTACTTATTCAGACTGGCTCTTTTTTAAATAAACTGTTATAAAATATTAATGACTGACGACCACTGTTTTAACCATTGCGTCAACTCACCTGAGGAAGGATTAAAATAAATCCGAAACGTAGGGATAAAAACTGTTTTTTGTTTTTTTTTGAGATGACCTATTATCCCTCCCCTCCTTCAAGAAGGAAAAATCATAAGTTTAACTGTTGAGGTCGAAATATAAGAAAACATCGTTACTCTAATCATGGGATAAATACTTAATTTATGATCTTATACAAATAAACTGCTATTTTCATCAAATTTAAGGCCTTTAAAATTGTGGATGGTGGAATTATTTTGCCTTATTTTTAAAAGTTTAATTTTTAACAGAATTTCCTTTCTGGTAGTTTCATTCTGTAATATAATCGGGTGGAGTTCTTTGGGCATACCTTCACATTCCGTAATTAAATTATAAAATAATATAATGTATTTTTATTATAAATGAAAAGGGTATTGCGTCCTGTTTCAAGATGTAGGAAATAGTTGGGGGCAGAATGAGGGATAAAGAGTTTTCGAATGAAAAACATGTGGGTTCGCTCTATTTCCACATACACTTCACCCCTCCAAACTTGATATAACAAAGAATTCTACGAGAAATACTATGGTATATTTTGCCTGCAATGGAACGTCTTGCTTTGCTAAAAGGTTTTTCTTTCTACGTGGTGTTCATGCCTGTGTATGCCTAAGCGCTTTTTGCTTTAAAGTGAACATTTAATGATAGTTGGTGTGTAATCACATCCCAAGATATTTATTTATACCCATTGACATTGACAATCTGAACGCCACCAAAACAAAAAATTTCTTCTTTTTTTCGGACTGCCACCATTCCTAAAAATCATAATCTTAGAAATTTTTAAATTGATAATGATGTCCCATGTTTAGCAGTATTCGCCCAGTAGATTGATCTTCAAACTACGGAATAATAATATTCAATATTTTTAAAAAGAAACGAATGAATATAATTTTTATTATAAAATTGAAAGAACAGAAATATACGATTTGATTTTTTAATCCTAGTTTCTGCCGTTGGTACTCAATCCCAGAAAGTGCAGCTAGTCAACTCATAATTTATTAAAATACAACTACTAAAATATTGCAAATTGATCACAACAAAATGTACGTTGCTAACGTAAAAACTTATTATTAACTGATTATTATTTTTGTTTTTTGTAAGAACATTTTCATGTTGTTTCATGGCAAAAAAACGCATACGCTAAATTACAAATAAAAGTAATTAATTTAAAACGAGTAGACTGTTTTTACATAATTATTCTAAGCTGAAAATGCATGTTGATCACGTTTATCATTTCTGGAGTGGCAATGGAGAATGACATGAAAGGTCATATTTTTTATCTGTGCATACATATATAATTACACGTAATATATAACATTTTATTAATAAAACCCGTGTACTTTTCTGGCTTACTGTTAGATATTCTACATTGGGTCAAAATTTTGATTTTGATCGCTTGTTTCCAGACCGACAACGGAGAACGACATAAAATCCTAAGCAAAGATCGTATTTTTATTATTTATCGTATCACGGCAGTCAAATCCTTCCTTCTGATACTTATAATATTAAAAGAAACGAGTCCACTTATAAAATTATACATTCAGCCTAGTTAATTCCTTCACAATTTCACCACGTATAAACTTAATGGCACTACAGTAATAACACTACACTTTATGCCTTGAAGACGACCCGAATAAAGGTCAAAACGGCAATTAAATGAAAAGGTGTTTTTTCTGAAATACATCTAACCTGACCGCTCCTCACTACTTCAAACACTTATTAAACCTATGGTCGCTAAACAAAACACAATTTATAAATTAAACTAGTTAATTTTGTTAGATTATTTTTGCAATGAAACTAGAATTTTGACTGTCAATGGAAAACAACCCAAAACTGTGGGAGAACGCTAAACAGATGGATGAACAATATACAAAAAAAAAAAATAGTAATCGTCTATAAACTTATGCAAACTTGTATTACTGCTGGCGGCACTTGAAACAATTCAATAAATGGGCCTGTACAAGTAGCTTAATGTGCTTTTGTTCATCATCGAAACTAAAATAAACAAACATATTTCTTGGTTCATCTATTTATAAATATATATGTACGAAAAATAATAGTTATGACAATAAAATGAAATATTTTATAAAGAGGTACTTCCAGACAGCCTGTTCATATACCTCAACCTTACACAAATTTTTAAACTTCTTTTAAACGAGGTATCCCCATTATACCTTGTCGTCGTATTGTTCAATTCAATTATTCTGTCAAGGGTTTAGAGTGTAACGCTGTCAAACGTAATAGCAATTTGATTTGAGGGAGAAAAATCTTATTCCTTTAAAAACTCCACATCACGTCCCCCCCCCCCAAATGTTCTCCCTATCCTAGCTTGTTAATTTAGAACGGATATTAGTCTAAATAGCCGATGTTAGATCCTTAATTAAAATACTTTATTACTTTGTTTGTTAAGAAAACGTATAACAATCTTATGCAGGAACTGCGGTCCTGTTAGGAAATTTATTAACCGCAGGAAACTCTCTATTGGACAATAAGCTTGAAATCAAAAGAAAATATACATTGACTATACATTTATCCTTTTACAAAAATAATTTTATGATAGGTGAAATGCAACTACGGGGATGGGTTCGTCAAAATAATGAAGCAAATTTAGGAGCATCAGGAAAACAGAGAGCAAAATCCCTAGGGAGCAGTATACAGAAACCCTTTTATAATTTTGTATTTCACACCTGATTTATGTTTTTGTTTACTGCCTGATAGATAAATTATTATATTATTTTTATTTGTAATATTTATGCGCGAATTAGTTGCGTCTCTTCTAAGCCAAATGCACGTCTTCCAAATTAAATTCGGCTTAGAATGGTGCTTCATTATCGAAATCTGTACAGTAATGTTCTTTTGATTTATTTACTGCAGTTCTTTAAGTTATTTCATACGTTAATTTAAAAAAAAAGTGATCAAGCCTTAATAAACATTTTTAAAAAATTTATAGGGAATCAGGCTTGCAAAAACATGAATGGACCTAGTCCATGACTGTCGTCAATGTACGCTCACGAGTCATTTCTTTATCAAAAAGTTTTATTTTTATTTTATTTGATCATTGCCGTTTTGGTCTGCCTCCTCGCTAGGTTGGTCTGTCAAACCAAAATGTTCAGATCGACCAAATTGCAAGTTCATCAGCCTCCAGACAACTTGGAAAAAAGAGTTTTTTGTTCCTCAGACTAAGTTGTTCGCGCTTAAATATAAGACTGCTACTTTAAGCGTGAAGTATAGAAATAATACGCAGGAGCACTTTGCCTCCAGTTAAAGCATAGCATGACACGAGAGGAGACAGTCGTAATAGCAGCTACCTGAGCTAATAGCTGTTATGTAGGTACGAAACGCAAATAACATTGATTATGGATTTTCCAATTTAA